ACTGCGTTCAATTACTGTGCTGTATTAAAACTTTAGCTATCAATAGCCTAGTCAATGTCATTTAATTTAAATTGTTTATTAATTAGAGATATTATATTTCAGGTGTTCATTGGACCACTTTATAAACCAAGAAAGCCATTTATTTTTATTTTTTATTTTTAAATATATCTTTATTGATTCCAGAGAGAGGAAAGGAGAGGGAGAGAGAGAGACAGAAACATCAATGATGAGAGGGTCATTGATCGAGCCTGCAACCCGGGCATGTGCCCTGACCGGGAATCGAACCCCGATCGCCTGGATCCTAGGTCGATGCTTAACCGCTGAGCCACGCCCGGTCAGGCCCAAGAAAGCCATTTAAAGATTATCTTTTTAGACCTTTTAGAAGAAAGATACCATGCTATTGAATACTTATGAAATTGTTAATGATGATGCTAATGATAAACTGCATGCATCAGTTAGCTTTGTAATAGTATAGAAATCATCATTTTCACTTATCATTAATGCCTCTTGATTTATATTACCATGGTTGGAAGAAATGTCATTCTTTTACATACATATGTTTATATGTATACTAGTTAACTTGTAAGATAAGTTGGTGTATAAGACACATTAGGATTTTATAATGACACTCAAAATGAGCATTTGTATTGACCATAAATGTAAAATGGTTTTGGAAAAGAAATATATTATTTTATGATATATATGTATTTATATATATATATATATAAAANATGTAAAATGGTTTTGGAAAAGAAATATATTATTTTATGATATATATGTATTTATATATATATATATAAAGTTATAAAATATACTATTTTATTCACATAATTATGGTATCTCCAGTACCGGCATCTAGTGGTGGGTGATAAGTTTTGAGTACATAGTAATATTCTTTTAACCCCAGGGAGTGAGGGAGGAGATGAGAGAAATATATTTCTTAGATGCTTACTGTGCTCCAAGTGCATTGCATATATTATTTTATTTAGTCCTTCCAACACTTTAATATGTAGGTATTATTTATTATGTCTATTTTATAGAGTGGGATACTGAGGCATAGAGACATTAGTAAGTGGTCAACCAGAATATAAACACAGGTAGTACAGTATAGACCCTCATAATTCTCACCGTCGAGGAGTATGTTATACTGCTTTGCTGTGTAAATAAATAAATGTATGGATGGACGTAAAAGGTCTTTTAAAAAGAAGATACAGGAACCATTAAAACTGATAACTAGCAAGCCAGCAAAGAGACCAACAAACGAAATCAGTTTACTAATACTACAAAGTATATTATTACCTTTTACTATGTGTGGAGTTATTAAAGCACATAACCTTAATGCGATTTTTATGAATAGAGAAGTAGCTATATAAAATGTAGATGAATGGAAATGATCAGTAAAAACTGGTACAAAAGAAATAATGAAGTAATAATTTTGAAGAAATTAGAATGTTATGCTCATTTATACAGTTATGAAGCTAAAGTAGATATTCCCCTGAATATAAACAAGAAAGAGAAACATAAATGTATGTAATAATCAGCTGAAATCTCTGGTATAGCAATGCTTTCATGGATTTTTGAGCTGTGTTGTGCTAGTAACAAAATTAGATTATATTGTTATTGGAATAATCCAAACACTCCCTCTGATTTGCTGACTCTTTTAACTTTGCATTGCTGTGCTCTATGCCTCTTTCTTGTCTCCTTACCACTAGGTCTTTAAAACTTAAAGCATATTGGATTCAGGGTAATATTTGGATACTTTTAAAGAGTGGTAAATGCATCCTATGTATAATAACAATATAGTTTATGTACACTAAACTAATTTCAAAACTAAGTTCTGTGTATTATTTAGATTATAAAGTAAAAATTAACTCAACAAATATTTATTGACCTCATGGTCAGTTTGGAGAAAGCCCCAGAGTTAATATGATTGAATACATTGAAGCACTTCTCAACTTGCAGCCACTCTAGACTAGATTTGGTCTATGTGTGTGTTTGAGTTGTGGAAAGATGTTTGGATTTATTACTGGAAATAGTACTATGACCTTATTATAATGACTCATAAACTGGGGGGAAAAAACCATAGTAAGAAATAATAAAGCAGTTCATGTTATATAGCTAGGCTTTATTTCTATATTTAACTAACTACAGACTATCTAAGAATATCTATTAGAAGACACTAATTATATTACTAGTATTGAGTAAGATGCATAGGAAATGTGAACCATTGAGATGACTAAAGAATGGGTTCAGTAGAGCTTTCCAACACAAGGAGTAGTTGACAAATATTATGTGCTGATTTTTTGCATTTTGAGTAGTAAACCTGTTCCTTGATAGGGAATATACAAATAGAGACAGGCATAAAACAACTACATCAATCCCATAAGTATTTAGGGACAAAGTGTGCAATAACTATGGAGATAATGGGTGCAGCTGCACACCATATCTTTTTGTTGCACATTTTATTATTTTAATTTCCTTTTTGTATCCAGCAATGATGGCATTTGTTCATTTTTAGTATGTGTCTACTCTAATATGGATAGTATGCTCAAGGCTTCTGTTTTGTTTTCTTGGGTAATTACAGCTCAGAATAACTTTTACTGAGACTTGTTACTCCATTGGCCAAATCCATTTAATATTTAGTATGTGCAGTCGCCCATCGATATCAGTATCTCTAGAAAAGAATTCTAGGATCCTCCATATGTGTTTTTTGCTGCTCACTCAGAAGAGCAATGATAGATTCCAAATCTTTAGGATTTAGCTCAAACTATATGTCATGAGTCTTAGAGAAATTTAGGTTTGTTTAAAAAACCCAGAAACATGTTTGTAAAGTCTGTTTTGAAATTGGAAGTAAAAAACCCAGAAACATGTTTGTAAAGTCTGTTTTGAAATTGGAAAGGACATGTTATTATTAATAATATTTTATGTAAATACATTTATATTTACATATAAATATAAATATATTTATATAAATATTTTATATAAAAATATTTAAAACTACCTTAAGCACTTTTTACCTATTTGAAAGCAAAATTTTAGATAATTTGCAACTTTATGAAGGTATTGTCATTCCGTCAGCCATCAAGTTCCAGATCCAGAGTTATTTTCTGTCTCTCTCTTGCCACTGTATCCCCCACTGTGTGCAAGTATAGTTTACACCAAATCCTGTCACTTCTCTGTGCACTGTTCCCTACCGTTTTCTACAACTTTAGTTTGCTTCCTTACACTTGCTTCTTTTTAACTATTATAGCCTTCTGATTGATCTGGCTTCCAGATTTTTCCTCCCTCCTCAGTCCATTCTGCAAGCTGGTACCTAAATAATCTTCAGAATGCTTCTGATATTTCTAAGGCCAACTTCTTTTCTTTGGCTTGGCCAAGAGGGCCCTCCACAGTCACGGCCCTTCATCGTCATTTCTGCCCTTTAACCTAGACCACTCTTTTCTTTTTATGTACCCGCCTGTCACTGATCTGTCCTCTAGGACTAGAATGTCCCGTTTTCTTCTCTCCATGATCTTGTTCCTGCCTGGCTCTGACGTCTTACTTCCTTTGGGAAAATATCCCCCTGACTATCCTAGTCTATGTGGTCTTCTTTCTCTCATGGGCCTCAGAGCACCTTTCCTTCACCTCCCCACTTTTTTTTTCACTGAATAACATGGCTTTTACTTTTGTGGCTTGCTAGGCATTTAAAAATTTTATTTAGTAGAAATTAAAACAACATTTTGCTTGCTGTCCTCTACCTATCTTTCCTAGGGCTTGGCCTGGGCCTGTTATCTGCTCAAATTTAGGGCGATCTCGCACTTTTTCCTTTAGGACAGGTTGGAATTACGTACGGGCTAAACTAGAACGTGTCTCTGCCTAAAACTCCTCCATATTTCTTGCCCCAAATATCCAGATGATGTTGGAGCCCTTATTTTATTGGCATGGGAAGTTGCTTGGCATTTATGGTATTTAAATTCTTAGGCAGCACATCAGTCTAGAATCAGAATATCTGGGTTAGTCCCTACTCTGCTATTTAGAAACTGCTTAAAACATGGAAAAACCAACCTCCTAAATGGTTAGTTTCTTTTTATGTGAAAACCTCAAATTTCGCAAGGTAAGTCTGAGTCTTTTTGATATATCTTTACTGATTTCAGAGAGAGGGAGGGAGAGGGCGAGAGAACCATCAATGATGAGAGAGTCATCATTGATCGGCTGCCTCCTGCACGCCCCCTGCTGGGGATCGAGCCCACAACCTGGGCATGTGCCCTGACTGGGAATCGAACCGCAATCTCCTGGATCATAGGTTGATGCTCAACCGCTGAGCCACGCCAGCCGGCCTATTCTGAGTCTTGAAATAAAAATCATCAAGTTGTACAGTAATGAACTATATGATATTTTATACTTAACATAATTTTAGGCACTTAATATATACTAATATCAACTCATGCAACAAGTCATTGACCCCTCAAAACAACTCTGTGAGGGGGACTAGTACCTGTAAGAGACGAGGAAACTGGAGGGCAGTTAAGCGTAGTCACTTGTGGCAGTGGCGGCTCCGGAATGGACACCGGGCAGTGTGGCTCCGCCCGGGTCCAGCAGGACACCACGCGACCTCCCTGTAAGCTGGCATTGTCGCCACCACTGCTCTGTGCTGCCCCAGTTTGCCTCCACCCAAACGCTTAGCAGTTTCAGAGGCACCCACAGGCAAGCCAGTTGTGAATTCAAATCCTGAAGCGCTTTTCCATTTCCATTTTAATGTAAAAAAGAAAAAGAAAATAAACTCAATGTCTGAACACTCACCATGACAAGCCTGCTCTGTGGTTAAAAGGGCAAAATGCTGCGCACACTTAGGGGGAAATCACATTGTTAAAACGAACGCACGTTGAGGTTATTTTATTTAATGTTGGAAATTAGAGAAGTGAGTATTTCAGGAATGAAGACAGTGCAAATATGATGTACAAAATACATAGTGTAAAGACGGCCTGGGAACTTATGAGCTTTAATCCTTTTATCTATTTTAGGACTTTCTGGGACAAGTGTTTTGTACATTGGGTGAGATTGTTGGTTCACAGGGAAGCCGCCTGGAAAAGCCAATAGTGTAAGTATTTTTAATTCAGACAATGAAATATTAACTCTCATTTTTATTTTTGCATTTTGGAATTGATGAATACATGGTTGTACAGCAAAAGTGGGTTTTAAAATCTTGAGTTTTACTTCCGAGAAAAATACTTTTGATATGCATATTTGTAAAGGATAATTTGTATTTCAGCTGTCATACGTGATGCTACAAAATGTTCACAAAATGAAGTGAGCCCATCGAAACAAGGAAACGTGTTGTTTTCCTTTCAGTTGTACCATTAAGTCGTAGATTTAGTACTTTTTGAAAGATTTTACTCCTTTGGGCCAGGCCTTTATGTAGCACCACCTTTTACACCATAAGTTTAATAAATGCATTTTGGATGACTGAGGTTTTAATAACTTTTATTGCAAGATTGGTTTGGAAAGACGGCGGTAAGTGTGTAAGTCTTAGAGAAGGTGGTCACTGTGGGTTATATCTTTCACCTTCAATTACTGGGATCATGTTTCTTTTTTTTTTTTTATTAGTTGCTTGGGATAATCCTATTTTCTCTAGTTCCATATAAGACAAAAAATAAACTAGACATTTTTCCTAATCTTTTCTTTCCCTGTCCTCTTTGTTCTTCTCTTGCCAATCTCAATTATTTGGATGCACTTAACTCTTTAAAAAAATCAAAAGATCTGTGAAGAATACTAAGGCATATGCAGAGCTAAATGCAGTGTCTAAAGGTTTGGGGAATTTTGAAATCTATATCATCACCAGTCTTTTAAGAATTTTAAATGAATGTCAACACTCCACAAATCTATTCACCTTTGACACCAAACACTAAGGCCAAGGCATCATTTTTACATTCCCTGTATACAACTGAACTTTATACTTAGTGTGTTCAGTGCTATGCAAGAACATCTTAGGATAATCAGAGGTCTATGAAGTCTAACATCTTTTATTTAACTTGATTTTCTTGGAAAATTATTACTAAATGTTAGTTTGAAAACTTTTGACTGTCAACTACCTTTTAAATATTCAAGAGTAATTTGCTTTCACATAATTATAGGATTTGGAAGCTTATGATTTAAGTATATTTTGTTCACTTTAACAAGTAAGTAATAAGTTACTTGTTAAGTAACTATACATAAATATTTTATTTAGTGTATATAATTATTTTTTAAAATGATGCAAGTCTTATTGCATATTTTAGTCTAGTGGCTCAGGCTCATGAAAATTCTTGGAAGATCACTAAATCTACCCTTTTTTTCTGGAAAAAAATCAATAATATACACAATGTCAACTTAAAGATGTCTTTAATATTCTTTGAGAGAAAACAGAAGCAGTTTAAAAATAGAATTTTTATTTCAAAGCAACAGAGTAGAGATTTTTGTGGAACTTGTGCTCATATTTTCAAATTGATAATTTTATTAGAAGTTTTTATCTGATATTTTCTCCATAAAAGGAAATCATAACCTTATTTCAAAAATCTCTGAAATTACAGAGACTTTTTCCCCCCGGTGGAAAATTATCATTATATTAGTCTTCAAACATGTTAAAAAGTTGATATATTGGTTGTGGTATGTGGTAAACAGAATACAGGGTTGGCAAAAGTAGGTTTATAATTATGAGTATGCAAAACATGGAGTTAATAAAACTATTGTAATAATCATACCTTGCATGTCTTTTTCCATATGAACAACTGTAAATCTACTTCCTTGTTCAACTAATTCAACAATTCCCACTAGATAAGACTAAGACAAACAAATTCATGCTGCTTAGATACCTAGAGTAGTGATTGGCAGAATGCAAATGTTGAGAGTATTTGCTAGAATTCGAGTCATGATCATTTTACATAATCAGAAAAGATGAGATGCCCTTTAGATTTTTCTTAGCTCCTGCTGAGGATGGAGTAGCATAAATGAAGCAAAGCCTTAGAAACCTGTTCAGATAAAATGGAGGTATTGTAACTACACACTTCATGGCATCTGAGGGTATTATGTAACATAGGAAAATTTTGATATTATATCTGTCTTATTGAAAAAGGTCTAATTCAATTTTTAAAACTTTATGCAACTAATCTTTTTTTTTTAATCTTTATTGATTTCAGAGAGAGGAAGGGAAAGGAGGAGAGAGAGATTGAAACATCAATGATGAGATTGAAACATCAATGATGAGATTGAAACATCATTGATCCGCTGCCTCCTGCACGTCCCCTACTGGGGATCAAGCCCACAACCAGGACATGTTCCCTGACCGGGAATCGAACCACGATCTCTTGAATCATAGGTCAGTGCTCAACCGCTGAGCCAAGCCAGCCAGGCTGCAGTTAATCTTTTCTTCAACCTTTGACCTTCTTGGGCAATCTTTTCAGGCGAATCAACATTATGCAGGGGTTTAAGGTGGGCTTATTATTTGAGTAGTAGGAGATTTAAACATTTTTCTAAATAAGTGTAGGTAGGCAAATATTAGTACTACATGGGTAACAAAATGTAAGCTTGAGTGTGGGAAAGAGCTTGGCTACAAAAGAAAGGAGCAAATAACAAAACTATAAGAACTGCAGAATGGTGGGCGACCCCATGGGGAAGTTACATTAGCTACTTGAGATAAAGAGACTATGAGAGAGGGAACTCACGTGGAAGATTAATCAAAAATACAACAGTAAACGTGAAAGTAGTTAACTTCCTAGTGGAAGGATATCTTGGACATATTAATGAAAGCATCGAGGAATAGCCTCATGTGTTCTCACCCGAGCAGTCACTCCAACCAGTGGATTGGGGGGAAAAATGTTTTTTTTTGTAGTCATTCACCCTCTTGCTTGAGAAAATACTGGGTTTTATTAAAAATTCTAGCTATGAGGGAGGGATGTGTCTAAGAAAGGGTAGCGTGGATTGAAGAACCAGGCCCACTGTCTTGAGTTCTTGGGAGTTCAGGTGCTTTAAGAGAAGATGTAGCTTCTATTCAATTGGCATTTTACCCTCTTACTTCAGCTCTAATGGAAAGCAATAAAAAAACATTCATACTTTTTGTTTGAAAAAAGTATAGTTGGATTGAGGAACAGAGTGAAATGCTGTTTGCATGGCAGCTTTATCTTCCCATAACGTCAGACTAGCTCTTCAGAGCGGCTGGTCCACTCCATGGATGCGCTCAGATCCCACCCTCATCTCTCCCTGCTGCCCCTCCCTGCTCAGTGACGTCCTTTTCGATGTCCTTGATTTTTTTTGAATCAATCTAATGGACAGATGGTGGGGAGAGGTTGGAAGGTTGGAAGATACAGAGTATTTCAGTAGAGGGAAGAACAGCTTTGGAAGAAAGGATGGAGCCATTGGGAATGTTGGAAATGACACAAGGCCAGGGACGTGTTTTCTTCTCTGACAGGAACCTTTAGGACAAACATAACGTCTAAAGATTTCATTATTTATCACATAATATATAAAAATAGTGGAATAGGTAAGAACATGACAGCAGTGATGACATTCACTTTAAGGAAATAATATGTATTTAACATGGAGTTCTTACATCTCTGTCTCAGAGTCGGTTTTGCCTCCCTCTGTCCCTGTTCCTCCCTGGTGATCCTGCCCTGGCCAGGGCTCCGCCACGTAAAGAAAACGAAGGGTGGTCACTAAACCTCATACTGTTTTTCATGGTCTCTTCCTCATGGCTGGAGATAGAAGTAGAATTTGTACACTTTCCTGTTGCAGCCATTACTTTTGGCAATCTTGTTAAGGAGTTAGGGGATTTTCCCTATCTGGGTGACCCACCTGCAATTAACCAAATGGACTCATCTGGAATTTTAAGTCTTCCTCTGTCCCGGATGTTATTTATCTTAAATAGCATTATCCAAGTGATTTAGTGCTTATTTACTAATTTGTCTTAGATTAGAGATTTATTTTCCAATTATTTTCCCATTTATATTCTAAATTATTCATAATATTCCCTTGTTTTCTTCCCTTTAAATGGCCCAGTTTAAATTATTTTCTGCTAAGGTATTCACAATAATTTCTTCTAGTTTCTTAATTGCAATTGTGTTACAATATCTCCTCAGAGGTCGTCTTTTTAAAATGATAACTATAAAATTTGGAGTTTTAAAGCAGGCATACTAGAGCTTTAAGTTATTTTTATTAATCAAATCTTCAAGAACTAAGTTATGTTTATCACAAAGGAAAAATGGTTTCTTATACAAAACCATATATCCTATTAAATAACCACAATTTGAATTTAAACTCATCTTTTTATTTTCTGTGCTTCAGTTATTGTTGTCACTTTCTAAAAAAAAAAAAAAATTCCATTTTTTTATGACAATAAAATTTATTTTTTAATATCTTATAGAACCTTAGGTGAAATATTTTGAAATTGATGTTCAGCTATTTTAAATTTACTTTTTAATAGCAGCTCAAGATTTTTACAATTTCCAACAGTCTGTTCTGTTGGATTCAAGTTTTGAGCAAACACATTTCTCATGTCTTAATTCCATCCTACACTTTGGTATTTTCCCTGAACCCTTCAAAAATGAGTCTTGTGCTCCTTAATTTGTCTGCAGCATTCACTGTGTCTTCCTGTGACTCATCGGCTCCCCTCTTTAGATCGTCCCATTATGATCTGGCATTATACCCACTCAGCAGTGTGTCTCCTCATGCTGTAAGATTGTATCTAATTTTCTGCTGATGCTGTCAGTCATACTTCTTCTATCTTTAGGGTTCTCAGCGATGGATTCAGAAAGTCTTCCAGAAGGCTAGAATCAGCACCGGTTTAAGAAAGATTGCCATTTTCTGCTCTGGGAGGCAGTCAGTTATTATATTCATCAAGGAACAGACCTGTTTGTTCCTGTTACTCTCACCCAGGCAGGACTGGCTGGTTCTGCGTGAGACCGTGAGGCAGAGGCCGGGACTGGTTCCATTCGGAAGAAGCTTCTTCCTCTGGGCAGGAGCTGGAGCTCCGAGGGTAACTGAGCTAGCAGAGGCTTGGGCTTAGGGAGAAGATTGTGTTCCTTGTAGGCCGGCTATAGCAGTTGTGATCTCGGCATCTCTAGTAGGCAG